CTCGCATTTATAGGTGGCCTCGCTGCATCCGCGCTTATCGGCGGTATCTCTTCCGCGGTATTGTTCTTGTAGATGGTGTGGAAACAACTGCCCGGAAAAAGTACCGAACCTTCGGTACTTTTGTTCCTTGGCTCCATTACACCTGTTTCCTATTCGTTGCTAACCAGACGAAAACACGCCTGTATGAACGAAAGCGGATGTAGTGGAAACACGGCCCAACCGGGTGCGGCACGAATTATTCCCTGTACTGACGTCACTAACGCCGCTGTTTGCTGATCGAAACGGCCATGGGCACGACTCGATAAGTGTAATTGAGTAAAGCATCGGCCATGGCATGAATTTTTCTTCGCCACTCGCATAGTCGCCCCTATTTAACAGGTTATTTAGCAAACCTAATTCACTAGCCGATGGTTGTGGAGGTACCAAGGTCATAGCTGTCCAAAGCCACGTAACGAACGGTTACCAAAGACACCTTTCCATTGCCGCGCTCTGACAAATTACAAGGACATATGCTTTCTGTTTCAGCGACGATCACGTAAACTAACAAAAATGCCACGCATCCATATGGCCTGGCCCGGCATGCCACAACAACAGACGGGTTCCAAATGAGGCGTCCGTGGCGGGTCTCGGGCATGTGACGGGGCACCTGGCGGCCGACAGACGGCAGTTCCATGAGGAAAGCGACCTCCCGCCAGGTACAGGCCTGCACGCCGTCCCTCACACGCCACTCTGCCGGAGTGGAGACGGGCAGCCGGCCGGCCGACACAGCGACGGAGGCCGCAGGGCGCTGGCCGCCGCGCGTCACGCGATGGAGCGCGGCCGCGGCTGCGGCTGCGGCCCGGCCCGGCCCGGCCCGGCCCGCCCCGGCCCGACCGAGTGACGCCGCCGCCCGGGAGGTCAGCCGACCGGGCTGCGATCGGGGTCAAGTTCGCCGCCGGGCCGCCTTGATGGGTCAGAATCCAGGTCAGTGCACCGGTGGCGGGCCGCTGTATCTCGGACGCGTGGCCTCCCGGGGCGGAACCGCCGTCCGCGGGCGGGGCGGCGGCGGTGGCGGCGCGCAGGGCCGACCTCCCCGGCCCGGCCGGGCCCAGCACCCAGCTGGGCGGCAGACCTCAGGCGCAACGGGTGAGGGAGGATCAGCGGTGTTCGCGACGATTGATACAACGATAGCCAGCGACGGCGCAAATAGGGCTGCGGAAAGGCCATGGAATGCTAAAAATCGGTCCAATTATTTTGCTGTGATTGAGTTGCATGTACTGGTGGCACTTTTTATGCTCTACGGGAAGTCTCATTGGATTGATAGCATCGTCTTATATCCGATTCGCTGTTTCGTTGACAAGGCTGCACATAGTTGGAATTTTTCCACCTCAGATGCAAATTACTAGAAGGAATTTTGAGTTGCTGAAACAGGTGGGATGCGTGCAACAGTGATGATAAGAGCGACTTTTAATTCCTGTTTTTGTTAAGGAATGCACGGCCTGTGTTTTCATTTCCAGATATTCAGCACTGCTTTTATTTTAGCCATCCGCTGTCTGACATCATATAGCTGTAAGCATAGGACGCTACCAATTGTTTCTAAATGTTTTACGCGCCAGCAACACGCCTAGCCAGACGGGCATAGTTCGAAATGACACGTGAACAGACCTGCTGGATGGTCCGCCCTCCTCCTACGACCACCGGCCAGCGGCCTACATTCACAGACCCATCAACTAACGGTCCCATACCCCATTTCCCGAGAGGGTCTCTCGGCCCTGCCCGACTGCCCACACCGGGATCCAACGGGGACCATTGTTTAAGGAATGGCCAAAGGCGTGTCCGACTGTGCCCTCAGATCGTGAGAGAGGGGCGTGGGCGTGCGCGCGCCAGCGTGACCTCGTCTCTCGCGAGGCCGGTTGGTGACCTCGTCTTTCCGGCGGCGCGCGGCTCGGCGGGCCCCGCCGCGACCGGCGGCGGTGAGCCTGACCGGCCCGAGCGGCGAGCAGCATGACTCCCGCTGTCGGGTGTGCTGCCTGTGGCAACAGCGGCCAGCGGCGGACACGTACCCAGGTCTGACTGACGGCGCACGCTGGCCGAGATCTGGCTGACGGCGCACGTTGGCCGAGATCTGGCTGACGGCACACGCTGGCCGAGATCTGACTGACGGCACACGCTGGCCGTGATCTGACTGACGGCACACGCTGGCCGAGATCTGGCTGACGGCGCACGCTGGCCAAGATCTGACTGACGGCGCACGCTGGCCGAGATCTGACTGACGGCACACGCTGGCCGAGATCTGACTGACGGCACACGCTGGCCGTGATCTGACTGACGGCACCCGCTGGCCGTGATCTGACTGACGGCACACGTTGGCCAAGATCTAGCTGAAAGCTCCCGCTGGCCAAGATCTGGCTGACGGCGCGCGCTGGCCGAGATCCGACTAACGACGCTCGCTGCCAAGCTCTGACTAACGACAGACGCTGGCCGACATTCGCCGTGCAGCCTGTATCTTGTAAACAAGCCTGCAACGGGGTACCACGCTTGCCCAATATGAATGCCATTTACTTTCATCTGTGCGGGATTTGACGCCAACAACGGCTGTAGCGTCTAACTCGCAATTCAATCAAGGCTGTTTATGTTTTCTCCCAGGAAAGGTCAAAAGATAGACTTCCGCAGCGTTACGCAAATCAGGTCCATAGAAGATAGCATTGATATTATTTCCCAGAGAAAGGTCTAGAGCATCATCATCATGTGTAGCCCCACCTACCAACTTGCTGACAGATTAAGGCCAATTTTGCTGAGCGTGTTAATTCCGAGCTTTCCACGGAAGAGTATATAAACTGCCACACCTTTGCTCAAACCATGACGATTGTTGTCGTCAATCAACGTCAACGTCAGCACTCGTCAACAGCAGCCAGCTCGTGCCGTGCACCGGAGGCGTGCCGATTTTACGACCACTTGACGACACCGAGTTCCGTATTGCGCTTTCAGTCCAGGAGGCAAGAGGTTCTGCAGAAAGTGAAAGCAATGCTGGTACATTAGAGGCTCGCGGCTTCTGCAGTTGGATGATGCGATGCGAGTGAATGTCGGTGACAACGTTCTCATAGGGGCGCGAGGTCGAAGGGCGGCTGTTGGAAATACGCCCACCAACCGTGCAGACAACCGTAGCTATGGTGATCACTAATTTTAAACTGTTGTGGAATGACTAGCCCTGGACCTTTTCATTTCTGGTATGTCATGAACGTACAATGCACAAAACATTCTCCGCGTTTTGAAGCTGTAGTCTTTATTGTATGGGACGAGCTATGCTGGCGTTCCAGTAAGCTGTTGCTAGGCTGGATATACACATAGCTTCTTGTTTATTCCATATACTGGTGACTTTTGCTGCGGTTTTCTATGGCTCAAACAGTTTTGAAGCGTCCTACATTTGCCATTTGCGACGTTTCTAAACCAACGCAAGGTCACAACTCCGCACATGCCAAATGTATCCCAGTCCATGGGCGCATTTATATTCACGGACATATGCATTAGGCAAATGATATGGCATACGTGCAGCATAATCCAACGGGGTAGGCCACCTCTTGCCAGCAAATCTCATTCACCCTTATTTATCTTAAATGTCACGTCCGTCGGCAGCGAATCAGAGATTCCCCTCACACGGTCTATGAAAGAGCTTGGGCTCGCCGAGAACACCGGGAATGTTTCTGCTGTTTTTTTGTAGATTGAGCTCGGTGAAAGGACACAATAAAAGCGAGTGAAGGAGCCGTCCATAAATTCGGTACGCAATTCAATACTTGAGGACTCCTACCGTCACAGGTTCCCCCAAGTGTTATCAAAACACGGCCCACGCTTCGTCCCTTTCCACGCCAATGGTGAGACCTATGTGCTCTTCCCAAACAAAAATACTCATCTATTAAGTGTTTAAGTCAGTGACCTTCTTCAGTTTCCCGAGTATATCCACGAGTCTGATTCTGAGCGTATCAGGGCCAGGGACAGGACAGAACAACCACCAAAATTTCAACAAAAAAAGAATATTCTGGACGATATATCAGCGCAAAGAGAAAGAAGAGACGTTCATTTGCTAGCGTCACTGCCTACGCAACGTTTCGGCCAGTGATTTATGCGGCCGTTGGGAGAAGTTGGTTGCCCTGAGAAGACCCAGCGGACGGTCGTCGTTTAGTGCCTTATTTACTACAGCCTGAAAGTTTTGGGCCATTTCGATGCAATCACCTTACGATTCGCAGACTAATGTTCTGACCGCAAGACTATCGTGGAGAACAAGCCCGACCAGTCTTCCCCGATGGCGTAACGAAGGACGGCTCCAGCCGCTCCCGACAGCCCTTCTCCATAGCTTGATAGTAAGAGTGCAGTCTATAAATCGCAAGATCGAAAGCTCGAGGCTCGAAAATGTTGGAAACTTTCAAGGCTGCGATGCATTAATAACAATAAGCCAAGCGCCTGTGATCTCCTCATGACCAAGTAAGGCCCAATCATGGGAGGAGAAATTACTGGCCGAGGGGTCTGTAGGCGATAACATCAATCATAAGCAAAGTGCTCCGACGGACTATTCTACCTGCTCTTGAAGGGTGTAAAAAACAATGCTACGATACATGCAGCAGGCTCATTGCAACACCACCGCATTAACGTTCTCACCTTGGCCATTTCGCCGCTATTGGAGCGCGACCCAGATTATCATCAACATGGAACGACTCAACCCTTGCGTGCATGCTTTACACATTCACATGCCTTTTGCATATTCATGGTACAAAACGTAGCGCTGGTTCACATCATTTCTTGTGCTGGCAAGGTTCACCTAAGCGTTACGATTGACATGCGACTGGGATGCGTGCAGGCTTGAACCGCGACCACCCCCTTCCCTACAGATGTGCGCTGCCCACTGCTCGTTCACCAAGGAGCACCGTGCCCCCATTACTGTCCCCCTCCCGGGGAAGGGGCCGGGGGCAGTGCCGTGGCGAACTCCTCCTCTGGAGAGGTGTGGGACCCTGCCGTGGTGAGCTGCTTACCTTGGAGGGGTGCAGAGCCGCGTAGAGGACCATGACCAGGAGGACGCCGCCAGTCCAGCCAAGCAGGAACATGCCGCCACGAGAACGGGCCATCGTCTGCGCACGGGCACGGCGCCGTCAACGCTGAGTCTGCTGCACCGGGCTGTCTGGAGCTGCAGGGCGAGTGCTGTCTGCTGGCTGACGGAGGGATGTGTCGTCTGCTGTGTGCGTATGTGTGTGTGGGGGGGGGGGGGCTGTTCGTCGGTTGTCTGAAGGGCGGGTCGCACGCTGCTGAGCGGCTGGGGCGAAGGTGCGGATCCCGGGGCGTGCTGGACGGAGGAGACTGATCGGCTCGAGCGGCCGAAGGTAGTGTCGGGTCTGGGGAGGGGGAGCCGGCGGCGGACCTGTCTGTGGCGGATCTGTGTGCCAACTGGGACCGCCGTTCGCGGCGCCCTCGGTCCGACCCGAGCCGCCGGCGCCGACCGCCAGGCGGCCGGCGACCCTGCGGGCCGGCCGCAGCCTGCCGGCCGCGAAACGCCGTCAGGGTCGACTGCACGCACAGACGAGCACAGCGGGCGTGTCACTGACCGGGGTCATCGAGTGCTGCTCTCTATATCAGGGCATGCCTCGCCCGTAGCTCACTATACGTGTATGTCTATGCATGATGCCGGATAAGGCTGACCAGGATGGCCGGGCGTGGATGTCGTGGTGGGCTAGACCGGCAGGGAAGCTGCCTATAATGGAAAATCCAGAGAACGAAACTTTTACGACGATAAGCTTACATGCGCATGGTTGTCAAAAAGGGTGTCCCGAAACCAGCCATCGTGAGAGTTCCACGGACACGGTATCGCTGTAGTACGTAAATAACGGTGGCCAGCCATGCTGAAGATGTTAAAAGAGGTCAGCATGAGATACTCAAAGCAGAGGTGAAGGTTCACAACTCAGGTTGAGGGGCAGGGGGCGGGAGCAGGCATGGAGTAGTAATGGCTAAACGTTCTCTTAAAAAGCCCAACTACAGCTTTCTCCCCGGATTCGACCCTCTTTCCCTCGAAGTGAGGGAAGGGGAGAGAATTTGGAGCGCCATATTGGGACGGAAAACTATGTCCCTGACTCAAGGCACACGGCCACGACTGGCAAATAAATGAGCAGTTTGAAGGTCACGTTCTGTGTGTACGGGCAGCATTGCAAGCAATGCTGCCGATAGTTATGCGTGCACGCACGTGACTGCTACGTTGCAGACACAGACACGGGGACAGTGGGGGCCTTTTAAGACGCGCCTGTCGCGGAGAACAGACATACACAAAGTCGTCATAAGCATGTGTTAACAGAAGAAGCTTCCGTATTTAAACTTTGGGCCCACCTGCACTTGCTGCGCGCTGTCTTTGCCGTTTTCGTTGATTTCTTTGTTCTCCGGTGAGACAAGGTGGATACCATTTTCTTTGATAATGTGTGCAAAACAAAGTCGACAATGAGTTAGCGCATTGGTTGGAGTCATCGATTAGCTGACGCAAACGGAAGTCTTTAGATCAACTCATTTCTTGTCCCGACAGGCGTTCATCTGGAACAAATGAGACACTGGCTTTTTCAGCTTTGCCACTGAAATAAATGCTTAGTGTGGGCTTTATGTCGTTCGTACATAGGCGTACGCCCTACTCTGTGATCACCTGAATTGATTCCATCCAAATCTATTCACGAATCAAGCACATCTTTAGTCGGACCGGTGTTCATTCATGACTGTGTTGTGTGCTCTTAGCCGAGTCGTAGTCCACCTGACGCCCCCCGCCAGTCGGAGTGGGAAGCGATTTGTCCTACGGAGGGGAATCAGGCACGAGTTTTCGTGTCCGAGAGACGAGAGGAGGTCGGTCGCGATGGGCAGGAGACACTGGGCGCCACGACGCTGTCTTCCAGAGACATGACTGTCGTGGAGACGTGATGGATTGAGTACAGGTGCGAGACTGCCGCAGCGGAATGATGGAAGACGGATCACTCCGCGCGAATGGATGGATGGATAGTGGGCGATGGACATGCGGTGTTGGAATATCAGGGTGAGAGACGTCGCGATGGGATACAGAAGACACAAGCAAGCAAAAAAACCTGTATCGTCTTACCTGTAGCTGCTGCCACGGGCCGGGCGGCGGCTCGTCTTACCTGGAGCTGCTGCTTCAGGCTGGGCGGCCGCTCGTCTCCACCTGTAGCTGCTGCCATAGGCCGGGTGGCTGCTCGTCTTACCTGGAGCTGCTGCCATTTAAGACAGTGGGTTGCCATTTAAGACAAGCAGAAACGGGGCTGTCGCGAGCACCGGGCGGATAGTGTACAGTCGTGATCGGCAGAATGACACGACTGATCAACCGTGTCGCACCGAGGCTTCGGACGCGTGGAAAAGGTCTGGGTCAGCGTGCCGCACACACAGCAATGAGCATCTGTGTGTCGCACATGGGCCTGGCGTCTATGTCGCACACACAGTCATGGCCGGCCACGAGGTACACAAAGGGCTGGCTCGCCGAGCCCTGGTCACTCACAGAGGCCGGCTTCACCGCGTCGTACACAATACCTGACCCACGCCGGGTCTGGCCTCCGTGTCGTACACGGAAGGCCTGGCAGGCCGGTCGTAGACAGAGACCTGGTGTGCGACGAACGCCGAGAGGCCTGACCCACGCGTCGCACACCGTGGTCCGTGCCGCCATGTGACGCACAGGGTCCCGGGCGCAGTATCACGCTCGTCTTACCTGGAGCTGCTGCCACAGGCGGGCGGCGGCTCGTCTTACCTGGAGCTGCTGCCACAGGCCGGGTGGCTGCTCGTCTTACCTGGAGCTGCTGCTTCAGGCTGGGCGGCGGCTCGTCTTACCTGGAGCTGCTGCCATAGGCCGGGTGGCTGCTCGTCTTACCTGGAACTGCTACTTCAGGCTGGGCGGCGGCTCGTCTTACCTGTAGCCTGCTGCCACAGGCCGGGCGGCGGCTCGTCTTACCGGGAGCTGCTGCTTCAGGCTGGGGCGGCCGCTCGTCTCACACCTGTAGCTGCTGCCATAGGCCGGGGTGGCTGCTCGTCTTACCTGGAGCTGCTGCCCCAGGCCGGGTGGCTGCTCGTCTCACCTGGAACTGCTACCATAGGCCGGGTGGCTGCTCGTCTCACCTGGAGCTGCTACCATAGGCCGGGGGGCTGCTCGTCTCACCTGGAGCTGCTGCCACAGGCCGGGCGGTGGCTCGGCAGCGTTCTCGGTCGTCTGGAACCCCATGTGCCTCGGCTCCGCAGGCTGAGAACGCGTCACGTCTGCCGCAACACGGCACGGCACGGCACGGCACGGCACGGCACGGCACGGCACGGCACGGCACGGCACGGCACGGTACGGCGCAGCCGAGAGGAGCGTGCTGGGACGTCCCGGGCGCCGCTGAGATGGTGCCGGATGGGGCCAGCTGTCGTGACTGCCGGCACCGGGCGCCGGAAACGAAAGGGAGTTTCACTGGAGTGTGATGGCCGTGGGGCCTGCGGTGCCCGACGCCGGGGTCACGGTATAGTGGCCGCTCCAGTTCAGCTCCTCCAGGTCGGACTGTGGTCATAGTGGCGTGGGCTCACCTGTTGTGCTCTTTGTATAACTTCAGAAATGCCAAGGCATTCGCTCTCATGAGGACGTGGAGGTTCTTTTTATACCGATGATCCCTGGCCCTCATGCTGTCGAGATGCTGTATACCAGCATCACGCGAATCTTGCGTTGGTGCCCAGTGGTCAAGAATGTCACTGGTCGTCATTAGCGGTACAGTGTGGGTATGCCCTAAATAATCCCCGATCCATGTATTGCAATCCGCATTGAGGAAACGTAATCCCAGCAGGGATGACTCGGTTCATGACGTCACATCATTTTTGACTCCCAGGGTTTGGCAAGGTCTTAGCAAGGCCTCGAATTATTGACTTCTTACAGTTCTGTCTGGCGGCTCAGGATTGATGGATGAGCTGTCCGTGTACGTCAGCAGGGTTCGTGTTTATTGATGATTTATGTGCCATTACGACTCGCCTTGACGGTCGACAAAGCCTTCGGCTTTTTCCTGCCATTAGTCGCAAATAAGTGTGCATGATGTACGAGCCAATGAACCATGTTGGGCCTGTAAAGCCACATAAAAACGACGGAAGCCATTTATATGTTTATTGTATATGGCCGTGATACGGAAGCCAGTATATGTTTATATGTTGTGGAGTGCGCAGCACGTTTGATACCATGCATCGTTATCTGTCTCCTCTCTATCGGCATCTACACAAACACACAATGCGAATATATATGTATATATATATATATATATATATATTATATATATATATATATATATATATATATATGTACAGCTGGCACCTTCAGTGCACAACCAGACACAGTAGATGTCTTGGTTATGTACTTACAACGTCCACCGTGCATAAACATATGTATGTATGTATATATATATATATATATATATAATATATATACATCATGCACACTTTATATATATATATATATATATATATATAGTTTATGCACGGTGGATGTTTTAAATATATAACCAAGACATCTGCTGTGTCTAGTTGTGCACTGAAGGTGCCAGCTGTACAGTGTGCGGCAGTGGCGCAATCCACAGTGCGCGCCTGCGCGGCCTGGCCGCCGGCTCGGACGCTCCGAGCGCGCGGAGGCGACGGGGGCAGCCCGTGCCCCGGATGTGTCCCGGTGACCGGGCGCCACGCGTCGCCGGCCGTGGGGCAATCTGGCGCGGACAGCAGAGGCACGGCTCGGCGCGGCGCAGCCAGCCGCGCCATGCTTTCCTGAGCACGGATAATGGCCACGCCGGGTCTGCCGTCATGCCTGGCGGTGGCGCAACGGCCGGAGGCACCGCCAGCTTTAGCGGTCCGTATGGACGAACATAAACACATGTACACCACGTCGACAAGCGCATACGAGCACGTGGACGAAGCCATGCAAACGTGTAAAGGCAACGATCACGTCGTATAAGCCGACACACGAAAGTGCGACGCGCACGTTTGTGTACCGCGCTCTCCGCGCTCGTGCGGCTCGGTCGTGCTGGGCGGCGGCGGTCGACGTGCGGCGGCGGTCGGGGCGCGCGTCGGGCGGCGGTCACCTGCGGGCTGTGGCGCCGCAGTTGCCGGCGCCGCCACCAGGTGCGGCTTCCGGCCATCGATCCCGACGCGACGCTCGGCGGCCGCCAGTGCGTGACGCCGCCGCGGCATGGCGGCCGTGTCGGGCTCGCCGCTGCGGCTGCTGCTGCTGGCCGTCTGCTGGGCGGCAACAGGTACGCGCGGTGGCGCGGCCCGCTCTGGCCGGCGCGCTGAGGAACTGCGGGCCCGGGCAGGGTGCGCTAAGGGACTGCGGGGCCCGGGCAGTGCACTTCGAGGGACTCGCGGGCCAGGCAGGGCGCGTTAGGGGATTGCGGGGCATGGGCAGTGCGCTTCGAGGGACTGCCTCCCCGGGCAGTGCGCTTCGAGGGACTGCCGCCCGGGTAGTGCGCGGAGGGGGACTGGGGTCCGGGCAGGGCACAACGGTCAGGCGGCAGGTCACGACATTAGCTGCAGCCAAGAGCTGGGTGGTTGGGTGGAACTTCACCTGGGTAGTTCTATCCAAAAATACCATTACCAGAAGATTATAAAAGTTGCCAACTTTGCTATTTCGCTAACTGCATTATTCCCCACCCAATCCGCTATGGTTGCGCGCTGGGTGAAGACCGAGAACTTTTTACGCCTCTACAACAAGAATGCATTTAGCTGTTGATCGAGCGCATGTCTGAGTTATATTACAGGTGTTTGGGATGCGGCTCTTCTGTTGGTCGCTGCCGCGCGAAACACAATCCGATGCGTGTTTGCTTACTTGCCTGGAGTTTGCCAGCAGGCATATGGCTTTAGATGTCGATGGTCATGTTGGCGATGCTGACCGTACATTCAGCTAGCGTAGGCTCATTGTTCGCGTGCAGTAGCTGAGGATGTATCATCGGAGCACGATGGGCCACTCAGATGCACTTCAGAGTTTGGGTCACTCGCCAAAGTTAGACGCTCATCAGTACGTTGCAGGGCATTTCCACAGCCATATTCCCACATTCCGCTCGCCACTGGGACTGAGTCACGTAGCTGAAAACTGCTTAGCTTTCCTGTAATGTAACAGTCTTTGGCCCTCTGCCTCGGAAGGACGTGACTTGGAACGTCGCCCATTTTAAGATAGTTCTTAAATGACATTCATCCTTCAATAAACGTCAAACGTTTTTCTGCGCTAAACGAAGCAAGCTTTTACGTTAAAGTGATGTGCGATTTCAAGCACATCGTCATGCTTTGTATGGTTGCTGTGTTTTAGGTCCATGCGTGACTAAATTACGTAAGCTGCTCAAAGCATTGGCGAGGAACATTTTCATACATAAGGCAGAAGTAAAAGACTTATTCCTCCGGGAAAAACCGGGAGAATGCAGACATAGATACATCGATATTTCAGCAACATGTCTTTAAAGAAATATGGACCCATCTATATGCATTCTCCTGTTTTTTTCTCCGAGGAAGAAGGCTGTTACTACTGTCTTATGTACATGCGTGACTACTAATTTTCACGAATCACATTTGTGCATATAACTACACACATTTGGCATGAGACCAGTTATAGTAACTGGCTGCGGATTTCCTTTGATATTAGGAGTAAATGAATGCATTTGAATGAGGTTTTACTGAAGTCATATGAAGTTAAAACGTATCTGGCGTCAACTGATAACAAACCTGGATCTTCGTTTTTAGAAATCAAGCTAGCTATGCTATAAAACAGTTACACTATGTGATTAATCTTATTCTCAGATAATAACACTCAATTAATTGAGCTATCTACAACTGCTATGACTCCGTCAATGTCCGTCCAGCAAACTAGCTGCTCCCAATCCATCCCCACGATAAATTATTAATGGACAATTTGTCTACGCGTTCATCTGCATCACTGATTCAACAGTCAACTACAGCTACTGGAAGAAACCCCCATTGTCCGTGTGGTACGTGGAGCTCGCCACCGCCATGCCCAATGAAATCTAGGCAAGGCGCAGGCGCGTGTGCAAAATTTCATAAAGCTGGGCATAACCGCATCTGAGAAAACTGGGAAAAGCTGAGAAAACACCTCAGCGCCACCGAAAGTACGCGAAATTTCGTACGTGACGAATAACAGTGTCCGCATGTTCTCGTTCTGCTTATTTGGGGCGTAATGGCCGCGCGGTTAGCACCCTTCGGCCTCCCGCGTGGCGGCCGCGGTTCGAATCCCGGTGGCTCCATAACCCCTGATCGCTAATATGGCATCTGCAGTTGCTGGCGTGTCATAACAAGGTGCGTGATGACGTTCGGTCTCTACCCTGGGGGATTCGACGAAGGCGGCACGTGACCCTAATGCCCCACCCGCCCCTGATGCATCACTCGCCAGCCGTGCGTGGCGTGCAACGCGTGACCGTCCCCAATTCACGCGAGCGGCCCGCTGTAGCCTGAAGTTCTTTGTCGAGATGAAGCCGATGCGCGTCACGCAGCACCGCGCTGTACACGGCCGCCGCGCTCCACTAAATGAGCCATTGCAGGGCGTTCTGGCGTGAGGGTCGGCGTGCATTGGGCCATATATTCCCTCCGGCGGTGCTCGGTGCTCTGTGTGTGGCTGTCGACCGGAAAGATCATACCTATGCATGGGAAAGCGGATAACCTTTGCTGTTGCCGCGGAAGACAAACGCCCTGTAAGAAGAGCGCGCAGGGGCTACCAGGGCCGAGTGGATTGCGATGGTGTTATATATTTGCCCCACGCGAGGTATTCGCTGTAGACAGTCAGTATAACAAAGGGATGGGTTTTTGTTCTTTATGCTTCCAAGGTTTTGGCATGGCCACCCAGATTTGTGGGAATGCAATGCAGTAGACTCAGGATAGTAGTTTTGGAGCAGTCTCATCGTTTATTAGCAGCAGTCTGGTCCTAAGTCATGCCGTTCTGTATTTGACATGAATCCGATTACTTTTGACGCGTGCCCTAATTTCCGATTTCGAAGTCATATTCTGACTCCGAAATCTAGAGCCTAAACGCGCACTGATTATGTCAATTTTTGTAGTTTGATAGATTTTCATTTCGAACGGAATATGTTAGGAGGACCAAAGTTTGAAAACCGACTCTGGGATTCCACAGTCTCCTTCGCTGTCCAAACCGTCTCCTCAAGTATGAGGTAACTTTAATGAAATGCTGAGCCGCCTATTGCTAGTGGCTGTTGGAAAGATCCCGACGCAAATCCATTGCTCTCTAGACCGTGATTCCAGTTTGTTGCCAAAACGCTCTGTACCAATGACTGAAGCAAGCTCAATTTTTACCTTCTTCAGTTACAACGAGGCACGTCGGAAGACATGGCGCCTACCATGAAGACCCCAGCCACAACAACCAGCGTCTCGCCCAGATCCTGCAGACGACGTATCAAAAAAACAATCGAGCAGCCGGCGACCGGATGACCGATTTTTATCCGGACCGGGTGTTCGACCTGTACGCGGACCGGATCTCGGATCCATATCCGGACCGGACGGACGATCCATACCGGGACCGAACGATACAGCGGGACACGGACCACCGAATGGCGGGCCTTCATCCGGACCGGGCAGATATCCTCTTTGCGGACAGGGATAGTGATCTTTACCCGGGTTGGGCGAAACATTTGTCCGTGGATAAGATGCGCCCTCTGGCGTCCGCAAATGACCGGATGCATTTAAGCCAATCGGCCAATGACTGGGCAGATCTCAGTTCTCCTATCGGTGATTGGACAGATTTTAGCCAGCCTGAAATTGATTGGACGGATTTTGGTAAGCCCGTAGATGATTGGGTTGAGCTGATGATTCCTGCAAGAAGCTTTAAACCTCTCAGCAGCAATGACTGGATGAGTCGTGAGGAGGCTGCAAATGACGTCACACAGCTGCGGAAACGCCAAGACGCTTTCCAGCTTCCACGACCGCAAGGCAGCGGCGGGGCCGGGCTCAGCAGCCGTTTGGAAGACATCATCGACGAGCTGACGGCTGCACGCTCACAGAAAGTCCAAGCAGACAAAGCGTTCCCCGCCGATGACCTGAAGGACGACGCGTCCCTGCCGGCCGACTGGAGGGCTGGCGCACCTTCACCGCACGCCACCGATCACTTATCTCCGCGGGACATCGGGGCTGACGCCGGGGCCGACCGGACGGACCACGCAGCGGCCGAGCACGACTGGGCAGACAACCCCAAGCGCAGGGACGAGGTGGTTAATGTGATGCACGCTTTGACCGGCCGCCATGCGGGTCGGTCGCGCGACAGGGCGCCTGCCGCAGCAGCTGACCTCAGCGGCGTCGCTGATATCGAGAGGGCCTCCCGGACGGAGGGCTCAGCGGCTGCGTCGACACGCCGGCGCCGCACGAGGGCGAGAGAGCGCCGCCGCCCGCCGGCCGGCGCCGAGCCAGAGCCGGAGCGGCCTCAGCCACCGGCGCCGCTGCTGGAGCGCGGCGGAGAGCAGCCGCCGGCGTCGCCGCGCCGGCTCTGGCTTTGGTTGCTCGGCGGCGCCGTCTCCGCGGCTGCCTTCCTCGTCGGAGTGGTGGTGAGTGGTTCGGTGCGGCCGGGGCGATCAGGACCAGTGTCTAGGATCAGGACCTAGTCCTCGACCAGGACCAGATGTCGTGAGGTGATGACAAATGCCTTCCATGACGCAACACCTTCCCTGGCTAACCCGTCTATCTATCCATTAGCATATGATGATAGGTCCAGAGTGCATTCGTGGTCATAGTCAGGGGTACAGTTTCTGAAAATATGTTGGAGGGGTAGCTTAACCATATAAATGTCGAAACCTTCCTCCAAGATATGCAATAAGCCGGTTTCCTTGGCACATCTGACCTACTTTCTTCCCAAAGCTGTGGAGCAGGAGGGAGGGGAGGGGGGGGGGGGCTGGAACCTCCAAACAGATATGAAGGCTTGCCCCTAGTCACGCACCATTTTTGTCACCACACGCTATCACGGAGTAAGCGCTCTCGTTTATCAGGCTGTGTTATAGAGACGCGCAGCAGTTTGGTACACAAGCCCCGACGGCCCACATTACCAGTCGCGTGGGCTGCCACTTACCCCTCCCTATACGGGCATGCATGAGCAACACGTGCACAGAGGAGCTGCACCCAGACGAGGTGCTGTGCGATCGGCCGGCAGGCGATGTGCCACTGGCGGCGCAGCCGGCGGGATCCGGGCCGGATCCGTCAGTGGATCCCGCACCGCGTGCTGCGCATGTCCACCGAGGAGGCGGACGCGCCGCCCGGACCCGGAGCACGCTGCCACCGTCCCACCGACGCTGGCCAAGGTACAGGTCGGCGCGCGCGCCAGGGGCTGGACCTGACCTGGCCTTGGTAGTGGAAGCCGCATGCTTCGGTCGACAGCAGCAGACCTTGCGTGTGCTAAGATATTGAACCTGAGCTACCTTTTGAGCTCCTTTTTGTGTTTCCCTGTGGAAGATGTGGTATGCACTGAGCTCGCTGGCATCGTCGCTTCACCTGCCGTCACGGCTCCCAGGCCAAAGGACTGCTGGAGAGGAGGGGCTCCAACAACTCACTGACCATCCAGGTGCAGCAATCTACCGAGGACACGGAGACTATCCGCTCCGCTGGGATGGAATGGTGAGCCAGAGACAAATGTACTGGCGGCCCCAGACTCTGTCATTTGTTCTGGAGTAAGTGGGCCTGGAATGAGATTTAGTGGCACCGGTGCGCCTCCTGCCCCGCGTGATGTACGGTTGATGGCAAACAAAGCAGGTAGAAAATACATCAACTAGCATTATTCCCGTAGATGGCTTAGGGCGTAAAAACGCCTCCACTATACCTTCTGCGTAATATTGTGGATAGCGTTTAAGCTTTTGGATATGTGCGTCCAAAAAGCCGTGTCGCGATAAACATAGTGTTGTCTGCCGACCAACCAGCGAAGCGGTATCCTGTTACCGACAGCCGGTGGTGCAGTGCCGTATCTGTCGGGAGTCACGCAGTACGATGTCCCGCCTTCCCACAGCCCGGTGCTGCAGTGTCCCATCTTCCCGCGGTGCTGCGGTACATCCCGCCTTCCCACATCCCGGTGCTGCAGTGTCCCATCTTCCCGCAGTGCTGCGGTACGTCCCGCCTTCCCACATCCCGGTGCTGCAGTGTCCCGTCTTCCCGTGGTGCTGCGGTATGTCCCGCCTTCCCACAGTCCGGTGCTGCAGTGTCCCGTCTTCCCCGCGGTGCTGCGGTATGTCCCGCCTTCCCACAGTCCGGCGTCCCAGTGTCCTCTCTGCCCAGTCCGGCGGTGCAGTGTCCTCTCTGCCCAGAGTCCGGCGGTGCAGTGTCCTCTCTGCCCAGAGTCCGGCGGTGCAGTGTCCTCTCTGCCCAGAGTCCGGCGGTGCAGTGTCCTCTCTGCCCGAGTCCGGCGTCAGTGTCCTCTCTGCCCAGAGTCCGGCGGTGCAGTGTCCTCTCTGCCCAGAGTCCGGCGGTGCAGTTCCTCTCTGCCCAGAGTCCGGTGGTGCGGAGTTCCATCTACCTACACTACGACAGTGCAGTACCGATGGGTAACTGTCCGCCTACCCCCAGCCCGGAGGTGCAGTTTCTAACATCGGCCGGCAACCGCCTCTCGCGGCGTCAGCTGAGGGAGACCGAGTGGAATTCATCCGCACTGCGCGCCGAGTTCTGGGACATCCCGCTGAACTTCCCCGACCGGTGTCCCATGCCGGGCACAGGTGCCAATAACAGATACAAGTGAGTCAGTATTGGGCCCGTCTCAACTGGACAATCCGTCTTCGTGGCGCACCGAGCGACACCGAGCTGTGGTGTACGGGTATCCAAAAACAGATCCGAAATGGATGTCACGCTGAAAAGCGACGACGTCACTCCACCTGACATAAGCAAGAAAGGCGTTAAGCTCCTGGTTTTTGGCGTTATGAGTTCTGAAATAATCTGTTGGAAATAATCGACTTTTAGCCTGCCAGAACACATTTCTTAACCGACGTTTAACCAATCTAACTGCTGAATAACGTGCTGGTCAAGGCAAATGCTCAATATTACCAATGCTTGTTTGATGACGTCGTTGAGTCATTACCTCCTGGCAGACACCTGCCTGGATCTCGAGCACACCCAAAATCCTACGGGGTTCGGTGCTTATGGGATCCTGAGATGTTCGCATCGAACTTCGATCGCATCCTTGGATCTTTTTGGACCCCAGACATTGTCCCACTGGTACACTAAAGAGAAATTGTCTTCAGCATGAAAACTCCCATCTCATAAGGATATTGCTCTACGCTTCTTTTAGCATGAGCGCAAATAATTATGTTTGCGATGCAGCTCATCATAGTCACATAAAAACGTTAGCGTGTGTATCGGCTTCGAATGAGCAGAGACATTGCGCAGGTCTGTAGTTTACTCCGCTGCGTCGAAGCTCAAGGCCGTGGACTTTAACAGGTTTTCGTTCGCAGCACCGTTATTCCGACGAGCATTCCCGGGTGCTTCTGCCCGCGCGGCCCGAAGATCCACTGAGCACATACATCAACGCAAACTGGATCAAGGTGAAACTGGTGTCCG